GCAACTATTTGCTAATAATCACAAGGGATGTTAAGTGCTCTACTGTGACAAATCCTGTAGCTAAGGCCGCACAGATCAACCATATGCAATGTTACTAAACATATTTGAACAGAAATCAAGCAATAAATTAACTAAGACCAGCAGGATAAAACTCACCCTGAATCCATCTTCATATGATGAGCATTGAAGAAGAAAACAGTGGACGGTATAAGAGTTATGTCAAAGTACTTGATGTAAACCTGTAATTCTTCTGAATCAATATCAACCAGTGCTATTGAAGCAAACTTCGACACTTCTCGAGCGCACTTTGCAAGCTAAATCATCAAAAGAGTGAAACATAAGGAAAACAAAATCATAAATTCTGAAAAAGCATATCAATCATGGAAGATGAAAACAAAATTCAGGGAATTGGTAACACACAATATCGTCAAGGAGGAGACAAACTGAATCGGAACACCGCCCAAATCGGAGAATGAGAACCTTATCAATAGTGTCCCTAATGATGGAATCCACTTCTCTCTTCGTTGTTAAGGTCCTTAAAAGATAGCTCATCCTCCTTCTCCTGCAATCCGCCTAAACGAATTTAGTTAAAGAAACCAAACAAGCTTCATACACACCCTAGGGTTGTCTAATTAAACTTTTTTTTTTAACTATTCACACATATATAATGCAACTCTTCATATCTTAACATGTTCCACAGACCATAAACTAGCTTGCAAAAACTAAAAACAAAACAAAAACACCCCAAAATCACAAGTTATAGCAGAATACGGTAGATAACAAGAAACAGAGAAAGAGGTGCATTTAACATACGATTACACGGATTACAGCAATTAAAACCTACAAAAGTTAAAACATACTAACGCCATAGATTATCAACCAAAAAATTGGAACGAGAGAGAAAAATTAAGATTAAGGGCAATCAGGAAAGGTAAATAGCAACAATACCCAGATACTAGAAATTAATTCAAGGAACAAACAAAGCTTAATCAAGAGACAATGAGGAGACTTAATGCGCGATGAGAGGAAGAATGTAGCACCGGGAGATGCAGCTATGGGAAAGACGAATTGAAACAGGTGGGTAATGTAGCGTTCAAAGTAGCTGGAGCATCAAATTGTTCGAAATAGCAGGCATGGTTGAGGGATTAAAGGCAGCGAAGTGGATAAATCCGATTGAGCGGTGGCTATTGGGTTGATTAATCAAGTATTTGCGGAGGAAGGACGCGTGATCGCGGCTGAAGGCGGGGATTCTCTGGTTCAGTCACGTTGGGAGCGGCAATAACAAGGTTGCGGATGACTTAGCTAAATTAAATACTACTTTAATCCGTGTTATATATTTATTATATTATATGTACATTTTAATTTTAAAAGAAATGAGGAAATAATTATAATTTTTTTAAAAAAATAAGAAACAAAAATTATTATATATATATATATATATATATATATATATATATGATTTTTTAAAATTATTGTATAAAAAAAAGAAAAAAAGAAAAAAAGAAACCCTAAATTCTGCGCCCCTTATCTTGCTTCTCCCTCCCGTTGCCGCCGCCACACAGTTATCAGCACCGGTTTGTTTTTCCCTCTTCGCTGCAGTCGCACGCTATCACCCTCCATCGGTAACGTCCGTTTCTTCCTTCTCTCCTTATCTCCCTCTCTGCCCCAACCTCGCCGGCACGGCTGCCTAGTCTTCTTCTTCTCGTCGCCGACTGCCCACCGAATTTTCTGCTCGTCGCTAAGGTGCCACTCTGTCTTCCGAAACCTCTCCTCTCTCATGCTCGTTACTGAGTTCGCATGGATTTTTTTTTTTTTCTTTCTTTCTTCAATTCAAGCAATTCTCTTAAATAGGGTAAAATTGGGAGAGGTTAAATTTGATCTAAAATACTGCCAAATCGACCTATTTTCGACTGGTTTTTTTTGGGTTAAGGAGGTATTTTTAGATGATTGAGGAGTTTGCTATGTAAGGTTGTTTTGCTTATTTGGATTGTTCTAATTGAGAATTATGTATTCTGGAAAGTATCTTTCTTATATGCACTCATTTTCAGCCGGTAGTTGAAGTAAATTTAGTATAGATTTTGATTTTACATGAATTGGGGGATTGAGTGAAGCATTTGATAGAGTCTTGGTGCTCTATAGTCTTCACGAAGAGAATAGGGTGATCAGAGCACAGAATTCTTTTTTTATTTTTTAAACATCAGTGGATTATGCAGTTATTCGTTTCTATAGAATTGTTCTACACCCCTGCAAATTGCATTAGGAATAATCGTTTGGAATGTGACAACTTGGTAGGTCATGGCAGAATCAAACTCGCCTGGTTCGTTTCAATCTCCTCCTGCTCCCCCACATCCTATGGTTATTGATGGGGCGAATCACGATCTAGCTCTAGCCTCTTGTGAGTTTTTTACTCGTCGAGAAGTACTAGAGCGTCGATCCCGGAGAGTGAAACAACTTTGTCGAGTATATAGGGAACTGTACTGGGCTTTAATGGAGGAACTCAAGCGCAAGTACAGGGAGTATTATTGGACATATGGCAAGAGTCCATTTAAGGAGGACGAGAAGGAGGCTGAGGGCATTGGTGATTATCCAGAGGGTATTGGGGAGAATGGAAAGCTAGGATTAGGTTCCGTGACCGGGAGTGATGAGATTAGAAGGTGTGATGTCACAGGTTGCAAGGCAAAGGCGATGGCATTGACAAAATACTGTCATGCTCATATCCTCTCAGATAAAAAGCAGAGGCTCTACAAGGGTTGCACCTTTGTAATCAAGAGGTTTGCATTTTATATAAATTATTTTCGCTGCTTAGTAATACTATGAGTTTTCTACTTAATAAGCAATAGCCATAAATATAGACTCGTCTAGTATTGATATCATTACGACTATTTATAAGGATCTTGAGTTTCTTTTTTTTCTCTTTGGACTGTCTTAAGGTATAATTTTGCTAGAGCTCGTCCGAGTAGATCCTAAGGATAAAGGCTGTATAAAAGCTTTTGTAATGCTCAAGTCTTCCCAAATTCCTATTGTAGAATGTAGCACCATTTCCAATCCTCTTAGTTAAAGAACAATGGTTATCATCTATCTATTGCTTGAATTTACCAAGTGAAAACCATGTGGTAAGAAACCAACCAAGCTTATTACAATATTTGCAGGAAATTTATTGCCCCAAGGCCTGTAGGCATTTTTTGTGCCCCAATCCCAAATTATGAGGGCAATGTAAGTGAGCTGAATCTAATCTAATTAATGAAATGCAGCCTCCTCGGCCCAAGTCTACCGCTAGCCGATATTGTCCTCTTTGAGCTTTCCCTTTAGGCTTCCCCTCAAGGTTTTTAAAATACATCTGCTAGGAGGTTTCCATACTCTTATAAAGAATGCTTCATTCTCCTCCTCAACCGATATGGGATCTCATATGCTCATTCCCAAAGAACTCTCGAATATTTGTAGTGATCCTTGTCATTCCCTCCGTACAGTTTAATGATTTTTTTTATAATTGAAAGGTAGTCAACATGGTTGAGCTGAATTAGAAGGTCACACCTTTTGATTGCATTGATCTGAAGTTGATGTCCACACACTTTGGTTAAGCTTTTTATTTTTCATTTGGGGTCTTCTGTATTTGTATCCTTTTCTGGAATTAGAAGCAATGTACATTTACTTTTGGTATAATGGGTAGGCATAGATGTGTTGTGTTGAGGAAACTATGTTTTTTCTCTTTTTTTTTTTTTTTTTTTTTTTTTTTTTTTTTTTTTTTTTTTTTTTTTT